TGTCGTCTTTATATACAATCAACGACGCTTTTTAACAAAAAACCGTCATCTTTCTATACAATTAAAGACGGTTTTAAATAAAAACCGTCGTATTTTGCCTACAATTAACGACGGTTTTAACAAAAACTGTCGTCTTTACATATAATAGACGACAGTTCTTTTAAAAAAACCGTCGTCTTTACATATAATAGACGACGGTTTTGAGTAAAAGCGTCGTCTTTACAAATAATAGACGACGGGGATTTACCGTCGTGGTTTTATGCATCAATAGATGTCGGTCGATTTCACGACGGTTGAAAAACCCGATACACGACGGTGGATTACCGTCGTCTATTGCGATTTTTGTAGTAGTGCATCTTGCTCCGAAAATTGACAAGAGCCTTTTGCCCTGAGGTTGAGGACAGTTCGACTTCCAACTGCAAATGGGGGGCCATGTAGAAATATGCCCCACACCCGTGCCAATAATACAAGACACATCATCCTGCCAAATTAAGCGAAGACTAGAATATGTTCCAAGAGGTCCTTGGGAGTTTCTGAGAAAATTACAGAGCCTGCAAAGTACTTTTGAAGGAAAACCCATGTTAAGATTGCTGAAGGGTAGGTATCTTTAGCTTATGTCATTCAAAATTGAGCGTTTATTATTTTTGTTTACTCTCATTTTCGAGCGCCATAAAACATGAGTGAAGAGCATCCTACCCATCAGCCAATGAATATGCAAGGCACTCCCCACAAGTCACGGCAGTCTGTAGCCATTCAAGTGTGATTGCTTCATTATCTCAATCAATTCCTATAATCTTGGAACTGCCTATTTTATGTTTTACCGTTTGTATAATTTACTCTGTTTATACTCATGTACAAAGTCAACTGTATAGCATATAAAAGAAATCCAATACAACCAAAATACTCATCGTGGGGTGTTCTACTTCTTATTCTTCTCTAAACCCTAGTTATTTCTCTACAAAAGGGTCGTATTTGACAAGAAAAAATCCTTCCACCCTCACACAGCCACATATACATATATAGTATTCATTAGTCTCTAGTCTCAAGCTCAACTTATAGATATTATTATTAGGAGGAGAGGAAAGCCTTGATTAAATTATACATAATTAGGAAATGGTTTTCTTACTTGCGGAACAGGAAGAGCAGTTAAAATCGCCATTGTCATGCTCCAAACATCTTTTCGTCGTGAATAAGGAATACCCAAAATAAGAGACTGAATAAAAATAAAAATACGACGCATAAAACGAATACTGATGTGCAATAGGTAGGAGAGATCTGCCAATGATCGCAAAACAATAGCTATTTTTTAAAATTTTGTGTCCACTACGCACACTTCCTATCGTCGTTGAGGATAAGACTGTAGAGGAACAAAGGATCCAGTGACACAGATAAAATATAGAATATTACAAATATCGTATCCGATTTCATGGCAGATTTCCGAGATGCAAACTTTTTGATCTGTACTTCTGCCATCCTGAAAAATAATTATTCATGCAGATATATTAATATATGGTAATTAATTAATGTTCATTGCGAGACAAACAGAGATAGATGCTCATGCATTTTATTATTTTAGAGTTAAAACAACTTACTTTTGAGAGTCAGATGGCTTTTGATCAGACCTCACCATAACTGAAGCTTGTTTAGGATACTTGTTTATCCTCTGAGATTATTGCTCAACAAGGAGTATGGAGCAATCAGCCAAGAGTGGCTCCAATATATCAATTGGTCCTTCCAATGATTGGGCATATGGGGACCCACGTTATTAAATTTTGTTGACTAAGTGCGTTTATGTAAACCACATGTTTTGTGTTGAGTTGTTGATTGTTGTTGTAACCTTGGAAAGTGTAGAGTTCTTTAATGTGTTAGTTGGCAGGCAAGAAAGTTCCTCTCTATATATCACGAGAAGGTTATCTTTGTGTTCGAGCTTCTTTCTTTCTACAGCATGGAAATGGAGCATATGGGGACCCCCGTTATTAAATTTTGTTGTCCAAGCTCGTCTATGTAAACCACATGTTTTGCAATATATATGAGAAGAAAAATCAAAATCTTAAAAGTTTTGTCGTGTTGCAAAACATGTGTAACATGCATGCAAATTGACGTCTGAATATAGCTTCATAATATTGACGCATTTGCAATTCAATCAGACCTCTTTGTTTTTTGTCTCAAAGAACTTCATTAGGGGAAAAATAAATTAAAAAACTGCAAATAGAAAATACATTCACACAAGGGTTGGCTGATTTTGCCATTCGTTCTTTCATTTCTACCATTTTTCCCCCATAATCTTTGTAAACATATACCCATTAGGCTGCACTGGAGACAGCTGATATGTAATGTCAATGTCTTAAAAGAATTAAACCTTTTGTACCCTACCCCCAATGAAACATAAAAACAAAAAACTAAGACAAAATAAATAAAAAGGAAAAAAAATCATACAATTAAAAAAGTACAGTATTGACCCGAAAATAAATAAAAATCTATCCCTACATTGAAAGGAAGAGACCCTTCATCTGGTTAATAGTGTTTCTCCTCTAGGTAAAGATGGGATCATGTTATATAATATAGGGTCAATTCCAGTTTGGTCTTATGCGGTTTCACTCGTAAGGCATGTTTGCCTCTATCCTCTCAATTTTTATAATTAGATACTCCAGTCTTTTCAATTTGTTGCAATGTGATTCTCCCCGTTTCATTCTCAATGTCCACAATGAATAACAGTTCAAATTAGTCAGATAACAGTCTTAGGCTTTCAGTTGCTACTGTGAACGCCTAAAATACATGAACAGCAACATTACATGACAGACAGATGTAAACATGATTTATCTTCCAAGATGAAATAAAATATTGCTTCCCTAAACATCCAATTAGTGCACCATTGAAGAGTTTCAACGCTGGCGCTAAAGTCGCTGAATAGAACTCCGATATGTCTATCGTAATGATATGCAAGTATGAAGCATGAGCAATAAGCTTATGAACAGAGCTAAACACTGAACACTACCCACAGTGGGAGGGAGAGGGATTTAGAGATCACTGAGGGTCTCTCCACATTCAAATATGATCATGAAACTTTCCTCACCTTATTGTTTATTCGTGGAGAATTGGGTGAATGCCATGTCTCAGTTATCCATGTCTGGCAATGAATAAAACATGAATTTATAAACATTCCTCCCTCCTTATTTTTTCGGACTTCTTTCAGCACCTTCAACATCGAACCTCAGAAACCTGTATGAAATAAGTTGGTAAGTTAATTGCTACAAATTCTTTTTACAATTACAATTTGTTACACAGTCAATTACAGTGACCAACACATTGAATCCTGTTTTTCATTTCCCAAGAAGCCTCAAGCTAGTGAAGCTAAAAGTACATGTAAGATGAACCGATGATATAATTTTTGTCTGTCGAAAATACATGCGTGTGCTACATGGGTTCGGAAATGCCAGTAAGCCCCACAAGATATTTCCTTGCTAAAAGATGACCTAATAAGATTACATTAGCAATGCCCACTGTTTCCAACTTGCAACTGTAATGGTCCACAAAATCTATGACCGGATTGTTCCAGTGAGATGTTTCATAGAACAATTTCCTTAAGAATCCTATGTTAAGTGTAAGAATTTTATAGAGTAGTTTAAATGTGACATGATGAGAAGACCCAAACTTCCTGCTGATCACAACTTGCAGGCTGCAAAAACGCTGGTTTATGGTCTTAAAAATATGGGTATACCGGTGAAATACCCCATGAACTTGTACCTCGCTTTCAATTAACCTCCTATTCTTTTTTTTTAGAAAATTAAGGATATGAACTTCTTTTTTTCGTCAATTTCCCCCCTACCATCTAAATCATCAACATTTCATTCAATTTTCTGTTAAATCATTAAAAATAAATATTTTTTTTGGGAAAAAATTATAGAAAAGAGAAAACAAAAAAAAAACCCTCCCAACAACCATCACCTTTCTTCTCACCATCACCACCACACCTCTCCCCACCATTGCATCACCAGACCTCTTACCCAACCCCAGATCCAAGGCCACCCGCTTCCTCACTGCCACCTCCCCTCTTAGCAGCCCACCCTCCTACAGCCACCACACACACACACACACACTCTCTCTCTCTCTCTCTCTCTCTCTCTCTCT